ATATATTTTATTATATTATTACTATTGTTTTATTATTATTACACACAAAACGACAGATACAGATAGAAACTTACATGTTGTGTTTTTGAGTGTGTATTTAGTGGGCAGAAGGATATGCACACAATTTAATTTATCATGTGGTTTTATGCAGAGCAGCTACTGACATAATATAGAAACTTCAAAGACACACAGCTACACATGTACACATTGGATGCACATGAGTACAATTATATGTATATGTATCATGCGGGTATATATGAATATGTGTTTGTAGACATTAGTGTGGACAGTATATGTATGTCTGTATGCATGCATTTTAGCCAGCTAGTGCATGCACAGCTCGGTATACTGAGTATTATTTGACTACATGTGTATATTTACCATGCGGTTATGAATATGTGCTTGCATGAGTGTGTTCAGTATATGTATGCATGTATTTTCGCCAGCTTGTACATGCTTAGCTCAGTATAGTGAGTATTATTTGACTACATGTGTGTATATATACCATGCGGGTAATAATATTTGTTTGTATATGTATGTATTATATATGTATTTTAGCCAGCTAGTAGTACATGCTTAGCTCAGTATAGTGAGTATTACATTGGGCATTTGATTACATGTGTATATTGAATAAGTGTGTGCATGACTGTATGTATTTATGTATGATGTATGTATTTTAGCCAGCTAGTGCATGCTTAGCTCAGTACAATGAGTACTATAGTGGACATTTGACTGCATTTTACTAGATGTGTATATTGAATATGTGTTTGCATGAGTGTAAATCTGTATGTATTTGGCCAGCTACTCCATGCTTAGCTCAGAATAGTATTCATGTATGTAGGCATGAGTACTAGATATGCAGCTTCAGTACATACAGTGTGAATACATTTGTGTTTATAATTTGTATGGTGAAATATATATATAATGGATGGCGTGTGTGTGTAGCCCTATCAGGTGCATTGCAGATGAGTGCTGCCATTGTCAGTGCGATTAGACTGTGGCACTCCACTGGCTGTGATCCTGAGCTCCGGCCATAGCATTGAATGCACACAGTTTAGCAGTAAGGGCTCTTGTCTAATAGGAGTGCAGCTGACAATGGGACAGGAGAGCCTCCTCCTCTCTGGAGTCAGGGGCTGCCACATTTGGTAGTTTCCTTGTTTTCTTACCAAGTTTTCTCTAACAGCTGGAAGTGGTCGGAGGGGGCTGTCTTAAGGAGACCCCCTGCTCTTCCTTTGACAGCTGATCAAAAGAAAATAGGTCACGCTTTTCAAACTTATGTCCACCCTTTGCTTAATTACTGTGCCTTTAAACAAAGGTAACATCTGCGCAACCTCAGCCAGCCCAAATCTTCCGAATGGGGGGACACCAACCTGCTCCTGAAGGCTGTGTCACTTTCAAGCCTAGGATACAGAGCCCGTCCTATTGTCCCCGATGGCAAAGCATTTGCCTTTTCTCTTGCTAAATGCACCCAGTGTTCCAATTAGGAGTCTGCTGTGCCTCAAACTGAGAGATTTTCCATCTGAAAGGCTCACCTTCTGCATCATTGTTTGCAATATACATATATATATATATATATGTGTGTAAAAATATTTCACCAAACAAACAATAGATGCATGCTAGGCATTTGACTACTAAATATTTGTAGGACGCCTTTCTATGTATGACAATGATGTGGTCAGTGCAACAGAAGGTGTCCTAAAAATGAATGCCACAATTCCCCACCCCCCACAGACAGTCACAATCCATTTGAGGGTGACCATTGCATATACAGTCAATAAATGCTAAATATCCTTTACTTATGTCCTAGAAATGAATGTATTTGGTAGCAGATTTCCCTCCCCTCATTGTATACGAGAAGGTAGCCATTGCACGTACTGTAAATATGTACTAAATATTATTAGGACACATATCCATACATGACAATAATATGATCACTGTATTACAAGCTGTCCTAAAATGAAATGTATTTTGTATCACCCCCACAGACAATCATTCTCCATAAAAGGTGACCATTGCCTATACATTAAATCAATGCTATATCCGGTATGTATAGCAGCATAGCCTTCCCCTATATCACAATAATGTTAAATTCTGAGGTTTCCTAAAAAGAACATTATCTTACCAGACCCCCTTCCCCCTCTCCTAATAAAATCAGCATGCATAAGGAGGTAGACATTGTATATACAGTCAATAAATGCTATATACAGTATGTATAGTATGCATAGCCTTCCCTTATATCACAATGTTAAAATGTGAGGTTTCCTAAAAAGGACATTATTTTACCAGATCCCCCTCTCCTAATAAAATCATCATGCAAAAGGAGGTAGACATTCTATATACAGTCAATAAGGGTCTACATATACTTAGAGCACTGTTCAATTTATGGCAAGGATGTGGTCAATTCATTGCAAGCTGTCCTAGAAATGAATATATTTTGCACCACAGTTCCCCACCCCCACAGATAGTCACAGTCCATTAGAAGGTGGCCATCGCCTATACACTAAATAAGAGCCAAATAAGCAGGCCACACCTCCCCTATATCACAGGGATACTGAATGACAAGCTGTGCTAAAAATGACATTATTTTGTAGCAGAATCCTCCACCACCCATAACACACACAGTTCAGGAGAAGGTGGATATTGCATGCATGTATTAGTAACTAAGTAATACATATGTATATCCTCATATCACTGATACTGATAGACTATTCAGGAGACAAGGTGGACATTGAATATAGAACCCATTTTGTACATATGTATATACGTTGTTATATCACAATAATACTGATAGACAAGGTGTCCTAAAAAATAATATTATTTTGTATACCATGACCCCAAACACACACACACAGTCACAGTTCCGGAGAAGGGGGCATTGCATGTACAGTCATTGAGTGATACATTTACACATGCTTTCTTATATCACAATTACACTAAATGATATACTTAAAAATATTATGTTACCACTACTACAGCGTTACCGTTCAGAAGGGGGGGGCATTGCATGGACAGTTAGAGTTCAGGAGAAGCGGGGCATTGCATGCACAGTTAGAGTTCAGGAGAGGGGGGGGGGGCATTGCATGCACAGTTACTGAGTGATAATTACGCATATCTTCTTCTCTTCTTCTATATCACAATGATAATGAATGACAAACTGTTCTACAATATGCAAACTCATTTCCCTGGTACACTCCACAAAGAACAGAAGTACAGGTGAAGGTGCACATGATATAAGCAGACAATCATTTCTAGGCAGTGGTAGGCCATCATTCCATGGATTTTTTTTCTAACGTTGCACTCTAAGCTGTCCTGTTTTCTTTTGATATACTATATTGAAAGCAAGCTCCTTTGCTAAGGACATTTGCACTAGTGCACATAAAGAGATGTCCCTTGCCTGCACATAGGGACCAGGTAAATAATATCAATAGTGTGATCTCTTCCAATCAATAGCATTTAACATAAATTAAAGGAGCAGTAGGAAGTCACTTTATATAAAAAGGGTCACAGATAACATTAACACTTACAGAGATAAAAGTTCCCATCGCTGCCCAGAAAAAGCCGACATGGTATTGAACCTGGCTGGCAGCCCCTATTGTTATATGGTAGCAGCCATTTTAGGCTGAGGAGGCTTAAAAGTAACAGTTGGCTATGTCCTTAGGGATTACTGGACAGGAAGTCAGCTGTGTGTAGAGAAGTAAAGACCCCCCTCCCTTTTCCCAATCAACTGCATTTACTGTTCATTTTAATGATCAACTCCAGAACCTGTATATATTTTCTCTCTCTCTCTCTCTCTCTCTCTCTCTCTCTCTCTCGATATATAGAGAGATATATATATATCTTAGATAAGCCAGAACCCATGCATTAATTCCAGGATACATAAAACTGAATGCATGTGGAGTATGCAGTGCTTTTTAATGCACACTAATGCACTCACAGCCAGTAATAAAAGGACACTGCAGCTTTAACTATTCTTCCCTGCAAAAACAGACACTAGAGCAATGTGTAGAGACCTCTCAACCTGTCTTGAAATGGGTCGGTCCCGCCCTCGTCCGCGGCCATTGGCTGCCGGCTCTTGACAGTGCGCGGTCCAGGCAGTTGATTGGAGCAGGCGCCCGTCCGCCAGCGGCTCCGGCTTCTCCCCCCTCGTTGGGCTAGGCTGCGCTTTCAGCAAAGCCATTCTCTGGACAGCTCCGGCTGCTTAAGCAGAAGACGTGAGAGGAGGAGAGGGCTGGGACATGGAGGAGCAGCACCGGCCCGTCTGACAGAGCACACACACACACATACACTACCCCTGCCTCTGACCTGCACTCAGCACTCACTTCTCACCTGCACTCACCCTCCAAGGCCTTACAACTGACCCGCATTCACCCATACCCCCACCCATGGAATGAATGAAGACTAGGACGCCTTTAGATGCCTAACCAAAGAGCTGGATGCCTGCGCCATGAACCTAGAGATGACAATGGACAGTATTGGCAGTTTGCATGGTGGGAGCAGCCATGAGCAGGATCTGATGAGCAGCCACAGCCCTCACCACCACCACCACCACCACCGGAGGATCCACCAGGAGCTGTCCAATCCGTCGTCTAGGTCTGCGATGGTCTCCAGCATGGCTTCCATCCTGGATGGGACTGGGGACTACCGTCCCGAGCTGTCTATCCCTTTGCACCATGCCATGAGCATGCCCTGTGACTCCTCACCACCTGGGATGGGCATGAGCAGCACCTACACCACCCTAACGCCACTCCAGCCATTGCCCCCTATCTCCACCGTGTCTGACAAGTTCCACCACCCTCATCACCATCCCCACCATCACCACCACCATCACCACCAGCGGCTCTCTGGCAACGTCAGTGGCAGCTTCACCCTCATGAGGGATGACAGGGGTATCCCCTCCATGAACAACCTGTACAGCCCCTACAAGGACATGACTGGCATGGGGCAGAGCTTGTCCCCCTTGACAGGCAACGGTTTGGGCTCCATCCACAACAGCCAACAGAGCCTGCACAACTATGGACCACCTGGGCACGACAAGATGCTCACTCCAAACTTTGATGCCCACACTGCCATGCTGGCAAGAGGCGATCAGCACCTCGCCAGGGGGCTGGCTACCCCTCCCTCTGCCATGATGTCTCACCTCAATGGGATACACCATCCTGGCCACCCAGGTCATGCTCAATCTCACGGGCCCGTGTTGACTTCCAACCGTGACAGGCCACCCTCCTCCTCTGGGTCCCAGCTGAGCAACTCTGGACAGTTGGAAGAGATTAACACCAAAGAAGTGGCGCAGAGAATCACAGCCGAACTCAAAAGGTACAGCATCCCCCAGGCTATCTTTGCCCAGAGGGTGCTGTGCCGGTCGCAGGGTACCCTCTCAGACCTTCTAAGGAACCCCAAACCTTGGAGTAAACTGAAATCTGGCAGGGAGACCTTCAGGAGGATGTGGAAGTGGCTGCAAGAGCCTGAATTCCAAAGAATGTCAGCTCTCAGGCTTGCAGGTGAGTTGGGGGCCACCAGGGGTCTTCTGGATGACCACTATAGATGCCACTGGTTACCTTGCTCAGTGTGCCAGTGGGACCAGCAATGGCATCAGTGAAGTAGGAGCAGATAGCAATTAAAATAGGACAAGGGCTTGATCCTTGTGTCATTTGGGCAATGGTGTGCCATGAAGCTTTAGTAGGCACATATGTGGCATGAAGGGCACTTATAGAGCTAGGGTAATGCTTGGCTGTCAATGGCTTTGATGTCAATCAGTAGAAGGCAAGTGTTTGAGCCTTGTGTCATTTGGGCAACTGTGTGCCATGGAGCTTTAATGACCATAAAGCACTTTTTTGTCTTTCAATCCATAGTAAGGCATTATTATATAGAACTGCTGAATCCTTGTGTCATTTGGGCAATTATGAGCTTGCTTGGCTCATATTTGGTATAAAGCTCACATTTTGGACTTCTCAACCATTATCATTTTTGGCTTTAGATGGACTTAGTATATCAGTGCTTAAAGAAGGCAAGTGCTTGATCTTTGTGTAATCTGGGCAATTGTAAAGCTTTGCTGGACACACATGCACCATAAATAGCACTACGTTGTCAATAGAACCAGGGTAATGCTTTAAATGGCTTTAGTATCAATGTATCACTTGTTAGAAGGAGTCAAGTGTTTGATTATTGTGTCATTTGGACAAATGTATTCTAGGAAGCTTTTGTCGGCACAGATTTTAGTATATATTTGTACAGTTTGTACATTTTTAGCTCATTTTAATTGTGATGTTTGGTTGCATGTGCGTTTCAGAGTCCCAGAACCAGCAGCTGGGCACTGAAACTCCCAGCATGACCCCGGGGCATCTTGAAAGCCACAGCTGAATAGTTAAAATAGGAAGACAGCACCTTGCTAAATGTATTCTATTGCAACACACTCCTATACCCTTTCTATATAATGGGATTGAAGCATGGCTGTGTAAAACATTTGCTGTTTTCTGTTGCCACTTATACACTACTATAATTTCACCTACTTAGAAGTCTATGGAGTAAATCTCAAAGCTTGCAATCGATTGAAGGTACTGTACATTGTTCATCATGTGCATTGTGGATCGCGGCGCCCCCTCTAGTGGCCGCTCGGTGAATCGCATCCATCTTTTGTTCTGGGTCTAGGATCTTGAGTGCTATGGAAAAAACAAATATATAAAAGCCATGTAAACATTATTTATTATTTATGCAATACAGTGCGAAGATAGTGTATGATGACGTTGCAATGCGCTGCAATACATGTATATTTTGTTACTGAGTCCAAAAAGGCCAGGGTCTCCTATACGTACTAATTTACATATAAGGATGCATCTGCATAATTACAAAGGCGATGAGTATTATTTTCAGACAAGTGCGCCCACGATCATAATGATAATATAATGCAATAGGACTTAGGAGGGTCACCCTGCTGAATTGCACACCTTGCTACTGAACAAAAGAACAGTATATAGCACAATGCCTCAGTGGGCAAGGGTATCTTCCATAGGTAGGTGCCAAGTGATCAGCACGTGTGATATGGTATACCCATGCCTGTCTGCTATCACAGATCCAGCTGTGTGCTTTTGATGCAATAATCATTATTGGTTATTGATTAACAACACAGCCAGTTATTTTTAGCCCAGACCATTGGATGTGCTCCTTGTCTACACATATATAGAGAAAGGCTTCTGAAAGCCATTTTCTTCTTCTTTTTTTTTTTCAATTTACATTTGAAATGCAGCTGATGTTTTGACACCTTTGTGCCATAATGAATGACCCTGACACGAGCCTATTATATGCCGGGTGCCATCTCTGCTCTTGTCTGTAATGGGCCTGGGTGGCAGACGTTGTGGATACACACACACACACACACACACACACACACACACACACAGCTGTATGGTTTAACCCTTAGCATGCAAGAAGGAGATATTAATGGGGGTGATACACCTGTCAGTGTCGGGAGGGTGATGGTGGTGGAGTTGCTTGTGAGTTTCATATCATACCATTGAGCATGATGGGGTAGATTGCATGAATGAGGAGCTGCAAGGGCAGAAGCCATCTCTATGAATTATTGATGGTTATCTCCGCTCTAGAGAGGCCAGTGTCACTTGCTTTGGGTTAATCCGGCAACACGGCTCTTTGTCCCTGTCCCTGGAAGGTGACAATCCCAAAGCAGTGTCAGCACTCAAAGCACGCTGTGCTCCTAGACCTATATACACCTACAGTATATGTGTACAAAAACACACACATGTATTATATACCCAGTAAAGGAATGCCTAAAAATATGTAATATTTAAAAACATTAGACCTGTTTATATCTTATGTATATGTGCAATTTAATAATAATAATAATAATACAAATAGTAATAATAATACTTATTTTCTTATTGTTATTATTATTATTATTATTGTTGTTGTTAATAATAATAATATCATCATCACCATCATCATTATTATTATTACTATTATTATTTTTATTACTACTATTATTATTATGTCTGCCTGCCTCCCCCAGCCCCCTGTAGGTCCGGACAGAGTTGTGTAGTTAGATTGTGCTGTGATGCTATTGATTTTTCATAGACGGTTGTGTTGAATATGTATTATATAGATTGCTCTCCCTCCCGTCATAATATGGTGTCCCTGGTTTGTTTTCTCTTCCCCTTCTGAATACATTGCCACGATTAGCCCAACAGGCCGAGTTCTGCCAGCGGGCAGCGTGTACTGTCTACAACTGGCAGAGCTCTGCCCAGCACGCAGGGCACGGCTGCTACAGGACAGTGCGAATCGCTGCCTGTGTATGAAATCTGCCAATTCCCCCCGATCACTGCCAATTCCCACCCCCCACTCCCCCCCCCGCCCCGCCCCCCAC